AATATATATATATATATATATATATATATATATATATATCATAATTAATTTCGTTTCTCTTTGTTCCAGGTGAGTACCCTTTTGGACTGTCCGAGTATCTCATCAATTCTCGACGTCGCAATAACGTCGCAAACTGGGTGAGTGATAAAAATCTGGACGCACGATTTTCATCCATTTTCTTTTTTTCCTCCCTCGATCTTCCATTCTGAAAATTCTGGTTTCTCGCTGGTTTCGTTAATTCGAAGTGGACAAATTTTTGATTCGCGATTATATAGTGAGTAAGGGGAAAGGAAAAAATTGGTGGAACGGAAAGAAACGGAAAACTGGGTGCGACTGAGCGGTGGTGAATGAAAGAAAAGCGGTGGGGAGGGAGGGGGGAGGAGAGGCTCTCTGATGCGTGGCGGAGACCTCGCGCTGCTCAACCAAGCTTCAACCGACGGCTCTGTCTAATCATGTCCGGTTTCCTCCACGTCGGTGGGTAACATCAGAGACACCGACAACTGTGGCGATTAGAAGCGCAGATTGTGGGAAATAATGGAGACAGAACTGTTTCACGTGGCAGCCAAGTGTCGCTTAGGAAAAAAAAAAAAAAAAGAAGGAAAAAATAGAATTGTTTCGACTTGTTGGTTAAAAAAGCGAGATTGGTTGGATCGATTTAAAGGATTAATCGGGATTAAATGATTGGGGTGGATAGATGAAAGATATTTTTTGAAAAAACGTGATTTTTATATATTTTCGATTCGAAATATTCGTTTTGAGATAGAGAAATAGGGAGAAATAATTGAGATATAATTGGGTCGAATGGGATGAATTTTCGATAGAAGGAAATAAATTCGACGAAGGGAGACGAAGAGTTGTAAAGGGGAAAAAATAATTTTCATCTGTTGCACGAGTTTTAACTCTGCTTTTGTTACGTAAAAATGGCATTAACATCGAGTTGACGTTGCAACGTCTTGGTTATCCGTTTAAATGTGTTTCACGACGTTAATTTGCCGTGACGTTATGTAATAATGGGTTGGAGAAGATTGTCGAGCGAAAAAGAAAAAATTTTTCGCACGTAGAAAGAGGAGGTTTGAAAAGCTACGATCAAGTTGCGATACAACAGAATTTTGTACATTTCACGCGACAGATTGAAACGAAGTCCAAATATCATGAAAAGTAAAATGTTTGCATTTCAACGTTCCTTTCGATTCGTCTTCCTAAATTTTCTTCCCCGATATTTCGAAAATAATATTCTCCAAAAAAGGAAATTTAATCTTAAGAGAGCTGAACGTTAATTTTTAGTTCTTCTCCCTTCGAGAAAAAGATACATACAGCGAATACGTGACAATTTTTAGAAACAAATTTATCTCCGTTGAAATGGGTAACGCTGAAACGACACGAAGCAAATAAAATCTAAAAAGAATCTTGAATACACGTCCACAATAATTAATAAAATCGACAAATGTCGAAACACGAGGCGAGATCCTCGTTTAAGGAAAGCTTACAATTTGAGATTCTGTTTGAGAAATGAAATTTATCGGTGAAAGGCTATGGAGAAAGAAGCGAGATTATAGGAAAACAGATTCGTTTTCTCGGAATTGCTTCTCTTATATAACAATATATAGAGGAGAGGCGAGGATTTAAAGCGGCGAGCGAGCATGGAAAGGAAATTATTCACAAAGAAGTTGAAATATTGCGGCGAGTCGCGTGTGCAAGAAGAGGAGCGGTCGGCGATTGTTCAAGGACGTTCGGTGCATGTGCACAACCGATCGACTCGCGTTTATTATACCCGCTCCTCTTTCCCAGACCTGTCGTTCTTCCACAAAATTACTCACTCGACCGGTATTTTTACCAGTCATCGAGCCTCACGAATCTCCGATTGTTTTCACAAAAATTCAACGACACCAAAGGATATAAAGATCGAAAGGAATCTCAACATCTCCGATTAATTTATCCAAATTAATTTCTGAAATCTTTAGAAGAAATTCCAAAAATTCAAAGAGGATCGAAAAGAAACACGCTTTTATTATCCCGTCGATACGCTTCTTTTTTTGGGCGGGGGAGGGGGGAGGGGGGAAGGGGAAGAAAAGAGAGTGTCCCCTTAAATCGAGAAAATAGCACGCTCGTTCTTGCAGGCTGGCGAGCCACCTGAAGACGGGCCAAGGTCGATACACGGGGTTAGGGTAGGGTGCGAGGGGAGAAGGAAACGGAACGGCAGCTGTCCCGTTTCCAGAATCGCCAAGTGGCGCGTGCGCGCCACTCGCTTGGAGGTCATCCGTGCGATTTGTCGGAGGTTCACAGGTAGACCGGGGTCGGTCAGGGCGGGATCCAGCCCTAACCTCGATTCGAAGGCCCGTGGCGAGGCACACACCTGACCCAGATCAACCTAGAAACCGAGAGCCCGGCTCAGGTTCAAGTTCAGGGCTCTGAAACCTGCACGCACTCCCTTTCTCTCGCCACGCATCCTTCGAGAAATCGAACATTGGCCCGAGGAAGAAGATTCGAGGATCGTTGAATTCGATCGACGAAATATCGTGTGAGATAAATATTCGTGAGAATATTCGTCCAATCATGTTTCGACGTTTCTTTCGTCAGGAATAAAAGTATAACGCATGAAACAATCGAAGAAAAATGGGCCACTCTCGTAAGCCGCACGATCGGGATGGATCTCGTAGAGGCAGAGACGCGTGCAAGAGATAACGAAGATGGCTCTTAAACGGCCTATTAGCAGAGCAACCGTCTCGTTACGGTTCGAAAGAGAGGCAAGCCTCTCTTGAATTTCAAATCGATTTTCCACAGTCAGATTTCCTCCTCCGTCTCCTTGAAGATAACATCTGGAGTGGCGCTATTAAACGAGCTCGAACGCAAGAAAAAAATCACGTTTGAATAAAAGAGACTGGCTATTACCGCGAAACCATTGAAAACGGTCAAAACGGTTGGATATCTGTCGATGCAAATCGATCATTGAATGATAATAATCGGTGTCGATCGATGATTATGAAGGAAGTTGAAAATGAAGCGGCGTTCTCTCAACGTTTTTGAACAGTTGAAGGGAAATGAAAACTCGAGCGGAGTTGGATCTGAACAACGTTGGAAAAGGTGACCGAGTGTCAAGAGCAGCGCGTTTCTTTTTTTTTTTTTCCTTTTCTTTGCTCGCGACACGTGCACGAATATACGCTTGGAGGTCTCGTTATTAGCGGTATATATTATATCGGTGACTAACGATCGCGATCATCAAGGCTTTAAGTTCTGCTCGACTGATGCCGATTCTCGCGGATTCTGTCATCGTCTCTTTTCGCCGTGGAAAATATTATCGGTTTATTTGTGATTAACGATACTGCGGTTGTGTTGCGTTGCGTGCAGTATTTTTGGATCTCATTAGAAGAAGTTTTCTTTTTTTCTCTCTCTCTCTCTTAAAAGCATTATGGGCGCATTTCCTTATCTCTCTTCTTCTTATCGCTCGAACTTGGGTCGTATTGAAATAGACGCGCTGAGAGGGACTGATAACGGGAGGGGAGGGGCAAGAAGAGTGAAAGAGAACGTTTTTTTCGTCCAATTGCATTCTGCGTACGAGTTTTTATTTATTAATAATTTGTCGATTTGTAAGAAAATAATTTCGATTTTTCGATCGAAACGATTTCGAAAAAAAAAAAAATGTTTAGATGGTAAGAATTGAAAAGATTTCAGTCTTCAACTGGTCAAAAAAAAAAAACGACAAGTTATCGATTCTTATCTTATCGAAATGGCTTCTATTCGTTAGAAATACCTTGTATTTTTTATTGAAATTATTCTGTGTATGTATGTATGTATGTCTGAGAAAAAGAAGAGAGAGAGAGAGAGAGAAAATCATTACTTACAAATGTTAAGACAGGGAATGAGAGAAGTTTCGTTTCGAATCTTCAAACAAAGTCTGAAAAGTAGGTTCGAGAGAATCGATCCTTTGGTCTATCCGAGTGTCTATTTTTAACTTAGTTTTATATTTTAAACTTTACTTAAGATTGTATATTCAAGAAGGAATGATGATATACGTGTATGATTATGATACACTCGCGCAAATGTGAAATTTTACATTTCGTTGTCATTTTCAACGAACATTCGATTCGAGTTTAATTTTAACGAGTTCAAAAAGAGTTCGCGAGGCGAACGCTCTGTTTGGACAAAAATTTATGTTCTCCGCTCGAGACGTGTGGAACTCGTGTGGCCCAGAAACCCGAGACCAGAGGTCGGTGGTACGCAGCGCTGGTCAAAGATCTCTGGTTGCGCGGTGAGCGACGAAGAGCACAGCCACTGTAACGCTTGTGCGGCCTCGTCCGATCGTTTAGCGTAGTTCACGAATGAGCCTTAATCACGGTGACCTCGTGCCTCTGTTTACGAGCCGAGGCATCGTCACGGTGCCGGCTCTGTGCCATCGATTTTTACCTTCCTCGTCGAGAAGAACTTGCTTCTTTGTTTTTTTTTTTTTTTTTTATTATATCGCTTCTGCACAACGAAACGCGACACGCGTCGTATCGGATCGAATTTCTCGATCGAACTCTTAATGTTAACGATGCAACTTTAATTATTTACGTAACTCGATATTCGAAAATAACTTCGACAATTTTTTTTCTTCCTTCGAAAATCTTTTCTTTCGTTGTAAATATACATATATATTTATATATATGTGTGTGTGTGTGTATCTCGAAAATTGTATCCGAACCAAAGGAAGGAATTTCATGAGTATTTTTTCGTAAGAATTCCTTGTGCGAAACGATCGATATTTTTTTCTATTGAATCAATATTGGTTCCAACGATAACAGAGTCTAATCGCGAATTAAAGGTAATTTGCCGGCAAGGAAACGATTTGATTCGATTGGAGCAAATTATTTGGAACATAACGATATTGAATAGAAATACAAATCGGCATTTGAGGTTGAAACGCAATGAGAAATCGTTTCAACGTGGCGGAGCCGTATCGGCCTTGGATTGGCCTGTTATTAAACCGCTATCACGGCGCAAAATGCGTTCGACTTCTTTGAATGAATTCCTAGCATCTCGCATGATTCTTTTTTACGGCTACAGCTATTAGTCACGCATCGCGTACTACCTATAATAGGCATTCACTTCGGCTTCTTCCGTTCCTTGAGGTACAAATACCCCGTGCAACACTCTCATCGTCTCGCCGATTTGCATTCACCGACTGGCTGCGTTTCGTGTGATAAATTTTCTTGTTTTAATTTAACGATCCCCATATTAATTAGAGTTACACCTTTTCTACTAATTAACCGTTAATTACGTTATTCCTTCGTCTCTTGAGCATCGAGTAACAACAGGTTGAAGAAGTATTCTATCTTTTCGATACACTGAGAAAAATTGAAACAACCAATTTATTCGAAACTCTTTTTTAAAATTTGTGCCTCAAACAGGTGCAACAAAAGAGGAGTAGGGGGGAAAAAGGAATTTGCATTCATCGATTGGCTGTGATAAATCTTATTTTAATAACGATATTAATTAGGGTTACACCTTTTCTACTAATTAACTTACTAGTTATTTCTTCGACATTTGAGCATCGAGTAACAACAGATCAAGAAATATTCTCTCTTTTCGTTTTTTGAAAAATTTAAATTTATTCCCTTAAACTCTTTTCCTAGATTTTTGTGCACCTGAAAGAGGTGCTAGTCGAGTTAGATCTCGTGCAACAAAGGGAGAAGGGAAAACTATTCTTCCATAGAAATCTCTATTTGCAGAAGGAACTTCTTCATCTCTCTTTCCCTGCCGTTGAACCCTTGTCTCTCTTTCCCTAATTCAGAAGACAGAAATCCTTAGGGGGCCTGTACAACTGACCACGCCGTTTTTTGACCGGAGCACGGTTTAGAAATTCAGCCACGCTTCCAGGCCGCGCCGGGGGTTGTCCCCGTTTCTCTTGGCCGTGACCCACCCCCGACAGCCCTGGCTGGATGAAGCGACACCCACGAATACACGTGCACAATCCTTCGTCCATCCCCCGAAACTGGAACAGTGGCTCACAAACTTTCTCTCGATCTCTCGACCAATAATTTTAAGAAAAAATATATTTGTAAACTTATGGATCCCTCTATGATTAACGAATCGATAACAATATACCAATATAAGAGTCCAAAGTACAGAATCTAACAGTATCGTGCTTCGTCGAATTTTCACATTTCTCGTCTCGACCAATAATTTTACGAAAAATAAACTATAAACTTACGGAACCCTTTATTAATTAACGATAACAATATACCGATATAAGAGTCCAAAGTATAGAATTTAATCTATCGTCGAATTTTCACATTTCTCATGTGATGATCAATCGTTATTCGTCGAATTAATTGTTTCGCTGGCTACATAACACAAAAAAAAAAAAAAAAAGGAAGGAAAATTCGGTCAGGCCGTGAAAATCCGTGGGCATACTTATTCAACGACAGCTGATCCTGAATCGCGAAGCGGAGCAGGCTCGATTGAAAAAACGGAGGTCGTGGGTCGTCGTCACAGGTTGCGCATCACTGATCCGCGACATTCACCGTGTTCCCGTGGCGGCGACTCTATCGGTGGTATACCATATAACACAGACATCCGAGCGTTCGTACGCTCGTGTACGCGTGTTTGCACACGGTCCAGGTGTGTAGGTGCACGGGCGCATGCGCCGGTGTGTATTTATTCAGGATGTAACAGGTGGATGACGTCACGGCCAGGGTAGCAATCCCCCCACCACGTTGGTTGGAAAAAGGCGCCCCTCCATCGAGCGCGCCCATTCCGCGAGTTGGGGACTTGGGCTCTAGCTGGCGTGTGTTGCAGGGGCAGGCCAGGCCAAGTTCAATACACAACTCGCATTGTTCGTGGCAGCCGTTTTTGTAGCCGTGACATTCAACACGAATCCGGTATCTAGATTTTTTTTTCTTTTTTAATATTCTAGAGATCTTTGCTCTCGAAAAGAAGAGCATTGGGATTATTATTTGGTTAATTATTCGATTTGGTTCGCGTCGATGAACGAAACGCAAGATTGTAATAACAATACGAGCGAATCGGTTATGATCATCGAATTGCTATTTTTTTTTTTTTCTTTTCTTTTCGTTTCGAGCGAAGAGGAGATTCGAAGATTATTTGATTTCGAGGTGTTGTGTCTCGCGAAGAATACAGGGGGCGCAGTTTGCCAAGTTTGTTTTCGATAGCCATAATGGAAAAATAGAATGTTGCGAAGTATTACAAGTCGGAGTCTTCCGGGAAATCGATTCTTTGCTTAACCCTGAAGTTAACGTGGTTCTTTTAAATAATCAATTTCATAGAGTACCGACGCCTAGTTTGAACTCGTTGTAAAGTAAACTCGGGGAGAACCGGATGATTTTGAAGGAAATACTTTTGTATAAAAAAAAAAAAAAAAAAAAAGGAAAAAGAAAAAGAAAGAAGGATTTGATTACAAGTAAATATCCAAAATTGATTAATGGATAACTTTTTATCGAGGTAATATTACAAAATTGACCGCTTATATAAAGCTGATGCATAGACCAATCTTGTATGTTTCATTAAAGTCTTTCAATGGCGTGTCCAATCGAGTTCCAGGAACGCACAACGAGTTCGATTAGAATGAAACGAGCGCAGCAGAAATTGTGGCCAATTAAAAGGAACTCTTGTCTGGTTGGTCTGGTATCGATTTTCGAGGATCTTGAACCGATTTTCCAATTCAATAAGCGGCGTTCCATCGCTTCAGTCTCTGAATTATTGTATTCATCCGGATTATCGTGCTGTGTGCATGCGCATCTTTCCCTCTTCCTCTTCTTCTTTTTTCTCTTTTTTTTTCTTTTTTTTCCTTTTTTTTTTTTTATCGTTCCGTCTTACAAGGCAAGTTCGCGATAAAAATGCAAACAACAAAAGCCACGTCAAAGGTCACGACGATGACTAACAATTGGCGATGATAATTTGGCGAGATAAATGAAAAATATTTTGCACTATTTTTTTCTTAAGGATTGATCGATCCTTCCTTTCTTTTTTTTTTTTTTTTTATTCAAAGATTTCGAGATCCTTGACACATTTCGCGAAGGTAATGGGAACGGATATACGTATGGGATATTGGAACTGCGAGAAATAGCGAGAAATTTATGAGATTTGACAGAAAATAGAAGAAGAAATGTGTGCGTTATTATTGAAAAATCAATCGACTTTGAATGGAATATTTTATAGAAAATTTTATAATTGAAAATCGAATATGTTTTTCGAGACATTCCTTTTTTTTTTGTTCAGAAATATTATTCGTACGACGAAGAGAAATTATTTATTTTTCCCAAATATAGAAATTAAAATCGCTTCGAAAAAAAAAAAAAACGAGGTCGTAAAGATTGAAGAAATTCTTTAACCGTAAAGAAATCTGTTTTCTTGGATTATAAAGGTCAGAATCTCAACTTCAAAGGATAGAACTACTTTTTAGAAAAGTAATTCTTGATCATGATTACATTTTCCATTTAACTAGTATAGGATAGAACTTATCCATGTAAAAAGCAAAAAATATTTCGAAAAACTAGGAATAATTATCATGTTTTCACGAGAACGAGCAACGAATTGAAGTTACTATCTGCTATAATATGTTACTCTCATGGGAGACATTAAAAACTCGTTAAGACGTTAGATTCATTTTATACGTCTTGGGAAAAACTGTACAATGTATCTCGTAATTTTGTTCAACGATTTCAATCTCGTCAAAAAAATGAAAAGGAAAAAAATGCATAAAACATAGTAACCTTAAAACTGATATATAAATATACACTTACGCAAGTAAGAGTATATAAATTTTATTAAAATAGGAGGATTGAAGATAAAATAACGAGTAAAATTAATATTTGTTACCTTCCTGTGAGAAATCAATAAATTAATATGGTTTTTTGAAAGTGTTAAAATTATTAAGCAACTTGCGGATGTTTGTTCGCTATTTGCGAATGTTTGCAATTTATATTTTTATGAAGATAACTGATCTATATAAAGATTTGTTTCGTCAATAATGAACACTTTTTTATATTTTTACGTATTTTGTGCACACATATATATATATATATATATATATATATATAGATGATCTCAGTAATTTTAAAATTTGATTAAAATGAATCGATTTTGATTAATCCATAAAAGTCAATTTTATCGCGTTAAAATATTTTATTAAACGTACCTATAACGACCCATAATAACGTACCTATAATAAAAGAACTTCATTTTTTTTTTACATTGTGAAATAAAATTTTATCGATGATAAACGAGCTTCTCGATACCGTAAACGATAGCATATGAAACCAAACTATATCACGAGAAATCGTAACCATACTGTAGAAAACGTAACAGTAACGTAGTAGAGTAAAATGATGCTGCAGATGTATCCCCGTAAAGAAGGGAAAATTAACGTAGTAGGTGGAAAACATCGAGGCCGTAGCGCAGAAAATACTGCGTTTGCGCAGCGCAGGTATGGGGCACCTTATAGTGCAGGGTACGCGCGACAGTGAAAGTAGCGAGAAGTCGGGCGCTGATTGGTCGGTTGGCGGCCGAGGTACGTCGGAGCCTGGCGGGCACCCTCGTGCCTGCACGGCCAGGCCGTACGCCTTCAGTCAGTGGCGGACCGTAGACTTGGTAACATCGTTTAGTGTTGCGTTCATGTGTACATGTTATTAACACGCAGCCTGGTATCTACGAAATAAAGAAAAAAAAGGATAAACCGAAGAATAAAGAGGAACAGCTAGCATTCACGTGTGTGTGAGTGTGTGTTTGTGTGCATCTGTGTTGATTGCATTATCGGAGTATTGCCGGCAGAGTCGTATAAAATTTGTGTGCACGCGTGTGTGTGTATGCCCCCAAGTGTGACGTAACGCGTTGCTACATCGTCGTGTTTTGTTTATGCGTCGCACAATCGAGCTCCCGCACGATTGTCGTCAATGCACACGTGCATATCGTGGATGAGCACTGCGCGGTATGCAAAGCTCGAGTAAAGTCAGAAAGATGTATTCGTACTTCTTCTGATCTTCTTCTGCGGTTCGTCATTCCAGAGAGAGAAAAAAAAAAGAGAAAAAGATACGAAATTGTCGTACGTAAAGGTGGTGTGGAGATAAGTGTATGTGTGTGCGTGGTCGCACCAAAGAGAAAACGAGAAAGTAGAAAGAGAAAAGGATACGACGAGAAACTCGGTCGTAGAAAAGGAGTGAGAGAGAAGGTTGGTGAAGACGGAGCAGCGTGGAGGAAAACGAGAAGAAGGAAAGAGAGAAAGAGTGGCGCATATCAGCGTGACGGAAAAGTGGAACGAACAAGAAAGAGACTCGCTCGAACGAACGTACACACGTTCTGCTGGTGACCTCGATACACGGAGTACCGACTGTCCGTTCTCGTCGATCGTGCGCAGCCTCAGATACGGAGAATTTCGCCAGTGAAAATCATGCATTTCTACCACGGCTATTCGGCTGGTTGACGTTCTCGAACAACGCGGCGTGCCTGTGATAGAGAAAGATAAACAGGCTTGCTCACTGGCTGCCTGTACGTCATCTCTTTCTCTCTCTCTCTCTCTCTCTCTCTCTCCTTCCCTCTCTCCCTACCGCCCGCGTCTACTGCGTTCCCTTTTGCGCGATCGTGACCCCGTTTCTTCGATGACCGACACTCCGTGGCTGCTTGGCCGCCATTAGAGGAGCCGAGAGCAGGGGAGAGAGAAAGAGAAACGAGAGCAACCGAGGCGAAACGAAGACGATCGTAGTCTCCCGTCACGAGCTCCCTGTCTACGTTCACACGTACACAGGCGTTTATCGCGCATATACGTACACACATAGAAACGGCCTCTGACGATATATGTGTTCGTGCAGCGTGCTGTTGCGTAGAGGAAGAGGGACACGAGGAAAAGCAGCGCGGCCAAGCGAGACGGACGATGCGTGAGAGCTCGGGGACCATGGACTCTTGACAGTGAATCGATTCTCTCGCGCTGCCCTGACCTCGTATTCCTTGCCGCAATTTCGGTCGACGAACGAATTATCGAGGTCAACGACTAGCGTAGTAGTTTCGTACCTCGTGTAAACAGAGTGTATTGCACGCCGTCTCGCGAAAGGAAAAATCTGAGGAAATAATCGAGACGTTAAACGAGACCACGTAGCCATACGTGAATAATAAAGCCGCTGTGCGTGCGACACGGCACAGTGGCCGAGATTTTTTCCCCAACGGAAGTGACGAGGAAAATTGAGACGGTGGAGTCGAAGGAACAGCAAACGGTGGTCCTGAAGGTGGAGCAGGCTGACGAGATGCTGCAGACGGTGCCTCGTGTGCCTGTCGCAGGGATTAAGCGACGATGGGGTAACAGGCACACCGGAAGTCTGCAGGAGTCGAGCCCAGAAGTTTCAAGCAGCGGCGTGTTATCGCCACCGCCGAATTTTCAACCCTCCACGCCGGAGAGCGCGGTTGTGAAGAGCGAAGAACTCCAGCTGTGGGATTTAGACCTTCATCGGGGTCTACAAACGAACGGGGATCATTATCGGGCTACCATCACCGCCACAACTACCACTACAGTGTTGCCAACGGTCACCGATCCTGCCTCACCATTCACCACCCCCATCGAAGGTTTGTGTATTGGTGACTTTTCTCTCCATCGTGTACCATTTATCGCGTTACGTAAGCGAATCGTTGATACTTGCACTTGAATTGTCGCCTATCACTTTTGCCAACGTCATCCTTTTAAACAAAAACTATATGATTTTTCTTTCCTTGCTATTTAGATTTTTAAATTACGAAATGAATCTTTTATAAAAATTTTGACGGATATTATTTTTTCTGGCGATATTTTTAAAGCGGTTTTTTTTTTTTATCTAAGGGAAAATCCGACGAATTTAAATGGAGACAGTTTTTCATTTAGAAAACTTTTAATTGGCTAGAAAAGGGGAAAAAAAAGGTTTTATTTAGTGAACCCGCAAATATTAATTTACGCCTTTTATAATTAGTAATATTATCTCTTGTTTCTGTGTATGAAGTCGAATAGAAAAGAAAAAAAAAATGAATTTTAATTCACTGCAATTTTTCCAACTTTTATCTCTACTTCGATAATTTTTATTTATTCACATAATCTTTTCATATTATAATCATTTTTTGCTTTTAATTTCAATTTAATTTCAAATTACGTTTAAAATAAATTATAACTCAATTATAAAAATTTTTTTCTATAATTCTATTTCTTGAAAAACTTAAAACAGTTGAAGTAAAATGTGCTCGAGGGATCGAAAGTCGAAGAGTTGACCGCCTCTGCCAGCCAATAAACGTCCTTTAAAGGTGATCGACCTACACACGTTAGCTCGGTGTTTCGTTAGAAAGCGACGAAACTGGTGTTGTTGTTTTCTTTTTCTTTTTTTCTCTCTCGAATACCAGGCGTGCCTATTTTTACCTGGTTTTCTTTTTCTCTAGCGGGAAATCGTGTCGAGGCCGATCGAACCGGATCAAAAGCGAGAAACAACGTCCTCATAGGACCCCGTAACAGCATTCGTCATCGATTGCGCCATGTTGCACCATACCTGGCGCCGATTGCACAATTCCACCATCTTTGTGGTGTATTTTTTATTTTTTTTATTTATTTTTTTTTTTCCATTTCTCTATCAATATTTTTTTATTTGTTCGCTTCTTTTTTAATTTTTCATTTCAGCACGTTTTATCTTTTTCCCCCGTTATCGACTTGTTGCAGTCCACAAACTTCCTGAAACTTGCGTTTCGTTGAACGATTGTCTACTTCGCGATTGAATGATCAAATTTTTTTTACATTACGAGAAACTCTCAAATAATATAGTTATTTTATAGTTTTGTCCATGGCAATGAATTTTTCTATATATATAAATATATTTCTATAGTTTCATTTATAATTTTTTGGTAATCTGAATTAAGATTTGCCCTTTTATAAATTAAAAAGATTCAATTTTTAATTTTACAATTTTCATTTTGTTATAAGATTAAATTAAAATTGCACGAAACGTATTAAAATTATTTCCTGGAATGCTTAATTATCGATCTCTGTAACTACGTAATTTAATTATCATAGATCATTGCATCCAAGACGTGACGTACACGATGACGCATTTTATACGTAACTTCGTCGTTTCTGCACGGTTCAAAAATATAATAGCTCTCTCTATTTTATCACAGTGAGTCAACATCCTCTAATTAAGTCAAGTTAATTTATATTTATTCGAATTAATTTTTTAATTAAGTTTTTTAAGATAATTTTGAAACATCTAAATTAAATTAATGATTAATAGTTTGCTGATTTTTTTTTTTTATTTTTAAAATCAATCAGACTTCAAAGTATAATCCGTAAATTCTTCTTATTTAATCAATTTAATTAATCCTAACGTCAGCAGGATAAATTTCTTTGAATAAAATTCTCATCCGACTCGATTTCAAACGTGGAAATTCTAAACCAATCTGCAATCTTTCCAATTCGAATAATCATGATCGATGGTTCTTCAATGATGAAATCCCGTGTTTCGATAAATTTCTCGAATAAACGAGAGTTTTTCGAGAACACCTTCCCTTCCTTCTCGATGTTTCGTCTCATTATTTTCATTCTCATGCTCTCCTCACGGGTTTATTGCATCGTGCGACGTGTGTGTCTCTACCGCTGGTATGTATATATCAGCTTTAAATAACACGTTGTGTCACGTATATGTCAGTGCTCTGCTCGCGGTGGGACCATTGTGTTTTCGTTTGCAGTCGCGGTACCGATGACCCGGAAACTAGGTCACGGTCTTTCGGTTTTTCCTCCTGCGAATGATTCACGGCAAACAGGTTATTCTTCTTATCTTGTAACATTTTTTTTTCTCTCTCTCTCGTCCTTATATAAGATCTCACGCAGAAAAACTTTATAAAAAAAAAAAAAAATTCCTTGCCGTGTATCGGTGTTCTATTATTACAAGTTCTAGGGAATTATTTATTATCGTTCTACCGACCTTCTATTCTCGGAAATTCTAGGGAATTTTTCCCCCCCTTTAATCCACAAATAACATACGTCAAACGCTGTGCAATATAGCTCGATTTATTTCGATGATTAAATTCTTTTTCAATTTAAATCAAACTAGCCAGCCTAAATTCAGTGAAATACAGTGAATACGTGTGTTCGCAGATTATTTTCAATCGAAAATAATTCGTCCAGTCGCAATTTTTATCTGCGAATAAACGAATCGAACGGATCTGTTCTCTCGTTTAATCGACGATGATCGGTTTCCTCCCCCTCGAAGGGGCCATTCCTCCTCCCATCCCTACACATTCAGTTGCGCGAATGCAATCGAGCGCACGTGGTGGATCGTTTCTCGACGCCGCCCCGTGATCGAGATGCCAGAGTTCGGGAGTGCACGTGATGCCTCCCGATCATCGAAATGGGTCATCGAATTCCACGCGAGAACGGGGATAATACCGATCGCCTCCTTCGAAGGCGTGCTAGATTCGTAGGGGATTCGTAAATATTCGGTGATGGCGGGCGGACCGTTAGACGCGTTGTGTGTGTCCGTGTTGTGTACCGAGAAACTGGCCGGGCACGAAGAGAAGAAAAAAAAAAAAA